CGAGTGGGAGGGGGCCGAGTGTGTGTGTGTATCCCACCCAATCAGCGCATCGCCAGCCTGTTTGCCCACTTTGTCCCAGTCGCGACTGAGCCCGACCGGCTATGCTCACGCCAATCGCCAGGACTACTCGGCCCGCCACACTCGTCTTCTGCTCGCCAATTCTGCCTGCTTCATGGATTAATTGGGCGCCAGCATGCCTCTCTCCCCCTCCCCAATTCTCCCACCTGACAAGCCGTTCACACCCTCCACACCCTCCACACCCTCCACACCTTTTACGAGGTCCGTGAGATCGACTCGTCTCTTTCCATTCGTGCTCGGATGATGCTCCGTCCGACCGGTTGTCCCGTCGCCTCGTGCCGCACTCGCCCTCGCCCTCGCCCTCGCCGTCGCCCTTGTCTCGTCTTGGCGTAGACGACGCGCGGTATCGCATGGCCGACCTGCCGAGGTCGGGCTACGCCCGGTCGCCGCGGTTCGACATGAGCCGCGTCGACTGCGATCGCCTCGACGTCGCCTTTCCGCTCGCCAAGTCGGCTCAGCTCGAGTCCGCGCCAGCCCTCGACCCGGTCGACCCGGTCGAGCCGGTCGACTCGGACGAGACGACCTGCAGTTTCCACCGAATGCCGAGCCAGCGACGTCGCAAGTTGTGGACGCTCGCGGCTCGAGCCGCGGGCCGGCGTCCCTCGTCGCCCAAGCCGCTGGCGGGCGCGTCGGGTCGGCTGACGCCGTCGAAAACGGTCCGAACGGCGACGCCAACGGCGACGGCGACGGCGACGGCGACGGCGACGGCGACGGTGAGTGGCGAGGACGGTCGACGCGTCAAGAATCAAGAGGACTCTGGCGTGTCGGTGGAGCTGTTCAGCAGCCTGGAGGCGCGCGGCGACGACGTTGACGTTGACGTGGACGCGGACGAGATGACTCATCCAGCGGGTGCAGGCTCGAACCGCGCTTGGTGCCTGGCCGGCGTTGATTGGCCAATCGGCGAGCCGAGAACCAGTCCCAGTCCCAGCCCCAGTCCCAGTCCGAGTCCGCGATGGCGAAGCGGCGTCGAGCCGAGTCCGGCGCGGCGCGAGGCTCGCGGCGTCGGCGTCGGCGTCGGCGTCGTGCAGCAGCAGCAAAAGTCGAGCACCGAGACGTCGGGCCTCGGCAGCAGCGTCGATTGGGCCTCGACCGAGGCGCTCAACCTGCTCCAGCACGCCCACGCGCCGCATCATCACCTGCTGCGTCACCAACTGCATCAC